TGTCCCAGAAAAGGCTAGAAAAGATGAGGATAAATGATGCAAATTTGTGATAATGATCTTTGTTAAGCTCAAGGCATTACAAAGCAATCAAGGGTGTAAAATAAATGTGAAATCTCCTTAATGGTTAGGAGTTACGTCTCTTAATGCTCTTCCATCTTTGCTGCCCATTAGAATTACTTGGGGGAGCTTTTAAAAGTCCCTTTGCCCTGGTTGCACTCCAACCCTCTTCAAGCACAATGTCTGGGCGTAGACTCTTGTCAGGCATCAGTATTTTTAAAAGATATTCAGGTGATTCCAAAGTACAGCAATTTGAAAACCCCTGTAATTGAGTAAGGGGAATAAGAAATATATCATGGAAAGCTGAAATCAATAAGATACTGTGAAAGTAGAAGGTCATTAAGGTCCTAGTCACAACTTAATTTTATTTTTATATGTTTTGGGCATATAATAGATACTGAAATTCTTAATATATTGAATTGAGCTAGCCTTATTAACTCATGTCATTACTTGATATCCAGGTGCTCAACCACCATTTCCATAGTCCTTAGATGATCATTTCTCATACCTCCTAAGCATCAAAGATACTACAGTAGCCAGTGCAATTGTAGCTGTATTTCCAATAATAATATCTATATTTCATCTCAGTTCATCACTGGTGAAAGTTTTAAGTTATACCAGTCCAGCATGCCAGGAGCCATCCATATCCATATTCTACTACCACTAGCAATGAAGTTTTTATTCCAGCCAGTAGGTAAGTAATCCATTTCCAAAATTCAATTTTAGAGTCTGTTTCCTTAAAACTGTCTTAGACTGGGTTCCTTAGAAATGGACTCTGAGATAGAGAACTGCATGTAGAAGGTTTATTAGGGAATCCTCTTGAGAGATATACCCATGAGGGAGTGAGAAAGATAGGACCGGGCAGGGGGACAGGTGGACCAATGATGCAGTTGCAGTTGAGGACTCAGTCTATTTTATAGGGAGCTCTGGAGCTGGGGTGGCTCTTCAGAATTATAAGGGGGCCAGGTTTTTGTATCCCCACGTTAGCCAGTCAAAGGCTGCACTGCAGGCCACCCCTTGCAGGGGATGGGAGCATATCTTTACTGTGAGATAGTTTCTGAGAGTAAGTCCCAGTGAGAAATGCATCTTTGAGCCATTAGCTGCCGATGGTTCCAGCAGTTGGGGGATGATTGTGTTGACCCTAAAGAGGGGAACTGGTTGAAGGACCTCAGTATCTGTTATACTGTTCAAAATAACATCTTTGGCCAATGGGAGCTCTTCATGTAGGCTCATATCTTTTGACATGACCCACTGGTTTTGCATAACTTTCTTGCTTTCTGGTAAAATACATTCCAGGCTCATCTAATATATTACTTGAACTAGAACTGGAATGAGCCATTTCTCCAAGGACTTTTTTTTAAGTGAGAAATGGTATTTAGAGACCACAAAATGAATGTCAGGATTGCTTACTGATTCTAGACCTTTCAGTGAACAGAACTAAAACACAAATTTTTAGAAAAAAACTCAAGTTCATATTAATACTACCATTTCAAATTTAACATTATAGGATTTTTACTTAATTTCCTTGATTTTACACTTTTATCCCTTTTTCCTTACATTGAAAATCTTAGTTCATAACATCATTAAAGTAAATATTTGTATTTCTCTATCCTAGTCTATTCTCTATATATAAAATTTCAAAAGGGTAATACTAACATTATAGTCTCTCTAGAATAGATTCCAATGTGTTCTAGAGTCACTTGGATTTTGTCAAAGCAGTTTGCTTGATCTTTATTCTTTTTTTAAAAAAAGATTTTATTTATTTCAGAGAGAGAGTGAGAAGGCAAGAGAGTGCACAAGTGGGGAGAGGGGCAGAGGATGAGGGAGTAGCAGACTCCTTACTGAGCACGAGCCTGATGAGGGGCTCGATCCCAGGACCCTGGGATCATGACCTGGGTCAAAGGCAGACACTTAACCAACTGAGCTACCCAGGTGCCCCTGCTTGATCTTTGTTCTATTCAACTTGTTTATTACTTGTAGCAGGATATATTCTTGCCAAATTTACTGATAACAGTCAAAACGATAAGAGAATTTATTGAATGACAGAAATGGGTCACACATAATCCTGATTCCTTATGGTGATGGTCTGAATTTGACACAATGAAATATGACAGGTATAACTGTAATATGCAGTTGTTTTATACCCCCATTTAATCCACAAAGCATTAGAAAAGACAATAAAATGATAAATATAAACTTATTTATTAATAAGAAAGGCTACCACTTTTTGAGGACTTACTGTATGCCAGGCACTTTGCTAAATACTTCATATAATTTTATAATTTTTAAAAACGATTTTATTTATTTATTTGACAGAGAGAGATAGTGAGAGCAGGAACACAAACAGGGGGAGTGGGAGAGGGAGAAGCAGACTCTCTGCTGAGCAGGGAGCCTGACACGGGGCCAGATCCCAGGACCCTGGGATCATGACCTGAGCCGAAGGCAGACGCTTAATGACTGAGCCACCCAGGCGCCCTAATTTTATAATTTAATCTGGACAAGAACCTCATAAGACAATAGTAGTAGTAGTAACATCTATCATTTACAGAGCATTTACCGAGTACTTGGTGTTGCTCTAGACATTATATACTTAATTCTCATAACCCTACAAAGCGTTCTAGTTCTGGAAGTCTGATTCCAAGGCTATAGGCACACGTTTTACCCCCTTTTTTACAGATGAGATTTTGAAGGTGAGAGAGACTGAGAAACTCCCCTAAATGTCTGTTAAACGAAGGACTGGGATTCAATCCCATGACACTTGATTTTAAGCTGATTTTTTTAATCAGCTTCCTGTCACAACAGCTAGGCAGGCTCTGGACAAGGTGTGTTCATGCATTATTGATTGTAATCTTGTTAACAGCCCTGAGGGGGTCACTCTTGTCCCTCCCATTTCACAGGTCAGGAACTGAAAGTTCAGGAGGTAAGCAGGTTGCTGCAGGTTACACAGACAGTGCGTGGTAAAGTTGCAATTCACACCCAGGTCTGTCTAAATCCGAAGCCCATATTCTTAAACCTTAAGCTGTCCAGGAAGGGAAAGATGTAAAAAACCAATAGCATTAGTGAAAAAGACTACTTGCAAGTTCAACACGAGGCAGTGGTGGGATGCCACTGCCAACAAGGTGGATGCCACCTGAGGCTGCGTTCTAGAAATACGGTATCTGCAGCAAGGGAGGAGACGGTCCCACTCTCATCTGCAATGGCAGAGCGTACCCGGGGCGCTGTGTGTCCTGGGCTCCACACTTTAAACAAGCATTACTGACATACCTGAAACTCCTCCACAGGTGAGCGCCGAGCATGGTGAAGCGTTTGGAGTAACGTGTCTATAGGAAGGACTGTTAAAAGTTGAGGTTAGCGCTCCAAAAGAGAAGGCTCAGGAGAGGCTGAAGAGCTGGCATTTGCAGGCGAGCGTCAGCTACAGTCTATAGTTCCAGAGAAGTAAGGCTTCCATTAGGCGGAATTGGCGCCTCCAAGGGAGGAAGCACCGCTTGGTATTGGGAGCTTTTTAGAAATGAATGGGCTTCCTTTTAAGAGAACGAATTCTTTTTCACTGATGAAGAACTTGAATGAGCCCTTACTGTGGGTTTAAAGACATATGTCAGGTGCCGTGGTTCTTAAATTTTAGTGGGTATAAGAATCACCTGGAAGTACTTGTGATCTGATTCTCAGGCTTCACCTTTAGAAGCATCTGCATTTTTAACAAGCAGCGCAGTGGGGCCAAACGAGGTGGTCAGTGACCCACACTTTGAGAACCAATGAGATTAGATAAACTCCAAGATCTTTTCCACTTTGTTTGCAAATAAACATTCTAGCAAAAAATGTGTGTTGTCAACATAACAATTGTTCAAAGAAAGTTGTCTTAAGTTTTATACATGATCCAAGACAAAATTCTTTAATATGTTGACAGTTATAATTAGAGACAAAATTACTGGAATGTAGGATATTAGGATATGGAAGAAGAAGTCTTGATTCTCAATCTATGTCATAAGAGACAAGACTTTAATAGCAAAATAGAAGAGACAAATCCAGGTGGAAAATCTTTTTTCAGATGTTCAGATTTTAAAGAACTCACTCTGCGTATACCAGGGAGCAATCTGATGGGGACCTGGAAGAAGCTATTTAATTACCCTAACGGACTGCCCCTGTGTAAGGTTAAACACCTGTCAGGCTCTGGGACCCAGGCTTATATAAACTTCAGCCTAAAACTAACAGAACAGGTGTAGGGGAGAGTGTCTTCTAACGCTGGCCCACTTTCTGTTGAGCTAAAGCACTTTTTCTGGCAAGTATAATGTATGTTTGATTAACTTTAACTTTTACTTAAAGCATGTGACCTGAGAGCCACATTTTAGAACTACTATATCCTGAAATGTTTTACTCTCTGTAAACATGTTTTTAAAAAGCACTGCTTGGGTATAATTTACTGTCTTGTATCAGGGTTTTTTTTTTATTAAAAGATTTTGTTTATTTAACAGAGAGAGAGAGAGAGAGAGAGAGCACAAGCAGGCAGAGCAACAGACAGAGGGAGAGGGAGAAGCAGGCTTCCCGCTGAGCCAGGAGCCCGATGCAGGGCTCAATCCCAGGACCCCGGGACCATGATCTGAACCTAAAGCAGATGCTTAACAGACTGAGCCACTCAGGGCCCCCTCCCCTTTTTTGACTTAAGTTGCATAGTGGTGTTTCATTTGTTGCTTAAGTGTACTAAAGTTTTAAAAAGCAGGTCTTTTTTTTTCTTTGAAAATATTAAAAACTGACTAGTTGAGGAATTGGTGCTCCTGGCTGTTTTGTTAATTGATAGTATCGATGCGCTTATTTCGTTCATGAAGGACTAGCAAACGATTTCTATTTTAAACGCAAGGTCTATAAAACTTCCCAATGGCAATTACATGTTGATAACCAGTGTGACCCTGTTTCTATTTAATTTATTCTCGCTTCCATTTTAGTGGTTGCAGACCTCCTCCTTTCTCTTGAATCATGAGGGATGAAATTGCAACAGCAGTTTTCTTTGTCACAAGACTGGTGAAAAAACATGACAAATTGAGTAAACAGCAAGTAAAAGACTTCGCAGAAAAGCTGATGACGATCTTGTTTGAAACCTACAGAAGTCACTGGCACTCTGACTTCCCTTCCAAAGGGCAAGCCTTCAGGTGAGAGCCGGTGTGTAGGACGGCAAAGGGAAGGAAGTCACAAGCAAGCCATCGCCATTGGCAAGGATTCTGTCCGCAGATTCTTGAGTAACATAAGTTTGATGGGCTCATATTGATTTGAACGTGGGCTTGAAAGAAAGAGATTCAGCAGGTGGCAGTGCGTAGTTGAAAACTATGTAGCTTAAATTATAGTTGAAGACTTATAGGGCAAACCCCCTTATGTGAGGTGGATTAAACAGAGAACATTCATCACACTAATTGTGTGGCTTAGTGATGCAACTCACATTCTGAGTAGCTGTGTAAAAAGTCAATGGTTCTACTCATAGAACTGTGGAGGGCAGGGACGGGGTAGGGGTCTCGGCTGAGGGGGGAGCTGTGTGTATTGGAGCCATTTGCCCATCTCATGATTCTTCTACTAAGGCACCTGTCACCCCATCTTTGTTTCCCTTTCCTTGCTTTTTAAAGGTGTATCAGGATAAATAATATTCAGAATAAAGATCCCATTCTAGAAAGGGCTTGTGCTGAAAGTAAAGTGGATTTTTCTCACCTGGGACTTCCAAAGGAGATGACCCTATGGGTAGATCCCTTTGAAGTGTGCTGTAGGTGAGTAATCTCATGGGAGGGGGTGTGCCTGTGACCCCTGGAAACCGTGGGTTACATAGTCAGTTCTGTACACCTTTGTGAGAGATGATGCGCCACAGCCCTGCATTAGCGTTTAGCGGGCGGAGGGCCCTGGCCGGTTAAGCTTTCGGATGCAAGCTTGATTTGCACAAACTTCCATTAGGAGCGGATGGCCTGGAAGCACAAAGACTTTACATAGTATTTGAAATCTGACTTTAATCCCTGCACTTCATTGCCAACCGTAGATTATTGGTTGGATATCTAAGGATTATAGGCAGTATCAAAGGGCAGAGAAGTTGCAATGCAGTCCTTTAGCTGAACTGAAAGAAACTAGTTCTTGTCTTTTTCTGAAAAATTCACCAAGAAAGCGCTTACAGAACAACCCCCATTAATTACCACCCTGTGGTAGCTGAAGGTCACAATGTCTCTTAACTTGCTTTGCCATCAAACCATTTCCATTTGTTGTTTAAAATAACTTTTTGCAGATTAGTGAGTGGTCTGTAGAAAAGAGTAGAGATAAAAACAACTTGTGAAATTTTGAATCCCTAATGAATACTTTATTTTCTTCTCCCACTTAGGTATGGTGAGAAAAATCACCCATTTACAATTGCTTCTTTTAAAGGCAGGTGGGAGGAATGGGAGCTTTCCCAACGGATCAGCCGTATTGTTAATAGAGCCACTTTGGACCACTCCTCCGGCATTTCCTCTGACGAAGAGAGTTGTAACAAAGAACCTCAGATCATTCCTAAAGTGAGCAATCCAAAGAGTATTTACCAGGTGAAGTGTGTTCCAGTGTGTGTTCTCTACGCTTTTTTTCCGCCCCCATTCTAATTCTAAAAAGAATTTGTCCACTGTAAAAGTGGAAAACAGAAAAACCTGTAAAGATTAAAATCACAGTAACATTTTGGAAAAGTTTTTTCTTCTATATGTAGTTTCTCTACTTGGCTGAGGGCTCAGGAGCTACAATCATCTGTAATAGTGTTTTTCTGTGTAGTATTTGAACACAAGTTTCCTTTAATCCAAATTCCTTCCTGATCAAATATAAAATTAGTGGGCTTTCTTGCCAGCAGAAAATAACATACCATTTGTAGAAAATCTGGAATATTAAGAAATGATCAAAGGTCTGTAATCCCACCACAAGAAGAGTTTTTCTAAAAATAATAAAATATATTTTAGCCACAATTCCTAGAAAGATATGTATATTTGTATGTTGGAAATAAGTTTCATGAAACAATAGTCATCCTCACTTGGCATAATGCCCTCCATATTTTCTATTAAATTAAATTGATTTCAACCACCTAAATGGATTTCATGACCCAGAAATAGTGGCAACCCTCAATTTGAAAAACACTGATCTAGACAGACTCTCTATTGATATTGTTATGTATATACTTGTTTGTATGTTTTCTGAAATTAATCCTTTATGCATGTTAAGACAATTTAAATACTTAACATTTTAATACTTTTTCCCTTGTAATTTATTTAATCTATTACTGGCAGTCATCTAGATTTTCACATTGTTGTGATATAAAAAAAACTCATAACTTGTAGAGATGACTGAATTTTAAGTTATTTCTGGAGACTTGATCCTCAGACTTGGAATTACTAGGTGATAGGATATGGCCAAAGTACCATCCAGGGAGGTTTTATTTATTTGTACTTTAACCAGCTCCATGTGAAAGTGTCTGTTTTATCATTTTTCCTAAAATTGGTTATTCTCATTTAAAAATACATAATTTGCTAAAGATGCTGTTATAGACTCTTAATTTAAGCATTAAAGAAACCCAACTTTCCACGTGCCCAAGTGTTTTGGGTACTTGCTGTCTTATGAATTTTTTCTTTACCCATTTACCATTTGAGGTCTTAATATATTATTAGTACAGGCTCTTCAAAAGTTAGAAATATTTTAACCCCTTTTCATATTATTGGCAAATATTTATTCTGATAGTTTGGAAACTAAACTCTACAGTTTATTATAGTTCTCCATATATAAAAGTTTAAAATCATGTAATGACATATATACCCTTAATTCTATTCTTAGGCTTAGAAAGATTTTCTTCCATCTAGGGATCAGATCTACAGGCAGCTATACACTTGTAGAACAATATCTTTTCAGAGTGTGGTCTGCAAAACATCTGTATTGGTCATTTGGGATGTTGAAAATGGATATTTCTAGACTTCAGCCCTAGAGGTTACGATTAGACAGTTGTGGGTTAAGCCAGTGAGGGGAGGGGTGGGGTAGAAGAGAACCCAAGAATATACACAAATTTGAAGATGTGTTTTTAAGTATTTTAGTTGGATTAAAGATTTAATTTTGTTAAAAGGTAGGACATGACTTTATTACCCCACCCATGCTAGACAATTTTCCAAGGATCATCATCTGCTTTGATTTCTATTCATTTGTACTCTCGACGCTTTTTAAAGGCTTAGCTTCTGAGTTATGGGTTTGTGTTTAGTATTTCGGTCTAGCTTATTACTTTAGAGATGATCTTCATACCTTCTTTTTTATTTATCTTTTTTCCAGGTTGAAAACTTGAAACAGCCATTTCAATCTTGGTTCCATGTCTCCCGCAAAAAGAATATGGCAGATGGCCGCGTGGGCCTCCTAGGGAACACTTATCATGCACTGCATAAAAATCCCAAGGGTCCGAGGCCTGCCGCTATCCCCCGGGTGGACAGGTACCACTGGGTCAACATGAACCGATAATGCAGTGGCTGGACACTCGGTGGGACAGAGCTCAGAGGAGCTGCTTCATTTTCTTTAAAACAAAAGGGAGTTTAAGGTTGAGAGGCCCATGAAACAGAAAAAGGAATCCCATCAGGGTCTAGGGTGGCATAATGGTGAATCCTCTCACACAGATCATGACTATGTTCTTACTGTACTTTTAATTCTTAATTTTATGTGAAGTTTTATGTAACACTAATGAATGTATTCAGTAATAGAATGAAGATATTGACCTGTGATAAGATTCAATGAATTATGAAAAGTAACAGTTTAAATAAACGTACTATGTTTTTAATACCTTTCTAGTTCAGTGTTTTTGCAAGAAAGCTTTGAAAGTTTGTGTTTCTTCATTAGCCATTAAGGCAGGTAGACCTTCACCTAGGGAAGTGTGATCCCCATGACATGGTCTCCTGGCCGCACTTTGTTACCCATCATTGCTGCTCTATTTCACAAGGCCACTGGGAGTTTGTTTTAAAATTACTCTTTAAGATACAAAATTCCCTTGTTTGTGTGTCTTTTTAAAAATTTTGATCTATTTCTAAACCTCTTAATAGACTTAATTATGACTTATTTTATAACAGTGACACCTGTCCATTATAAGGATTCAAGCTAATGGAATTAAAATTAAAAACTTAAAAAAAAAAATTAAGCTAAGCAAAAAAATGTACCACCAGGAAAAAAAATCCCTACCATCCATCCAGAAACTACCATTATTAACATTAAATGGTGACCATTTTTACAGTCATGCTATATATGTATACAGATGTAAGAACTGATACACCATTTAATAAGAAAAACCATACAATAGGAGCTAAACAAGTAACTAAAATTAAAAAATTAAATTCAAGTACCTTAGCAAAACAAAGATACGTAAGGTGAAATATTCATAAGTTTTTCTACCACAAAGTATTTTATTCCCTGAAAGATTTCCCTGGAGTTAAACACTAGCAAGCTGGAAACTTATCTTTAAAACTTTGTTTTTCAATTTTATACGGTAGTATTTGTCGTTATAAGCATTCTTAATTTTTTCCCCCAAGGACCAGTTGAGTGAATATTAAAATCTTAGGTCATGCTTTCTTTCTCTTACAATTTCATAGATCTCACATGAAACTAATGTTTTTGGCACGATACTGTGGAGAAATTGGAGACCAGTTTGATTTCCCCAAATCCCCGCCACTCACACCAACATGAGCTTTTACTTTCTTAGGTGACTTCCTTCGCCTGCCAGTCTGAAAACCTTTTCTTTATACTGGAGGTCTTTGTCCATGTGTCAGTCATTTTACCAGTTTTCCCCAAAATATTGTATTCCTTTCTGATCTGCAGATTTGATTTTTTCTAGAGCAATCTACAATATTTTAAAACTTTCTCTCTCCATCCATTTTAGGGATACCAACTCTCTGGATGCTGGATCATTTCTTTGTTTCTGTCATAACTATTTATCTGATTGCTTTAATATCTTTCATTTTTTTAAACCATGATTATCTTAAATCTTCCTTCTGCCAGTTTTATTCTCAGTCCTGTTTAGTCTTCATTTCTTACCTGTTTCTTAGTGCCATAATGATGTTATTTTGGATTTCAATGAGCAACTTGGAGTTATTCCCACGTATAGTGTGACTAGAAAGTGAAAACTGTATAAAATAGTTACTACATGTAAAAACAACATAATACTTAGATGTGATAGAAGAATGGGTTTCTAAGAACCTTTGCACAGAGGATTTTATTAACAATTATCTCTTGAAGTGTGTGAGGTTGTTTTTTTTTTTTTAAACCAAAAAACAAAACTACTTCCAGCCAACAGAGAGGATAAATCTGTGGCACATATATTACCACTTCTGTGACCCATGCCATGATGGACATCGCTAATGAGTCACCATATTCTTATTTGGATGCACGGATGACATCAAATTTCTGTGCACACAGTACCAGACATAACCATTAAAACGAATTGTTCCAAGTGGGTACTCAAAAAGAAATCAATTCCACCATGATTGACGATTGGCCCAGAGGGAGCCATCCATGAGATTTAGAGCCCTGTGTAATTTTTTAAAGCTTCCATGTGGCCCTGAGACAATGGTATAGGGGAAAATTTAATGAACTATATATTTCTTGCTTTGATTAAAAGTGATCAATACAGTTGAAAAACCCCCAAATAAATGAATACTGTGTCTATTAGAATATAAGTATAATAACCAAATTAGATCTTCCTAATCTGGATTTTGAAATTTTCTGAGTATGTACCACTTTTTTTCTTCTTTAAAAAATTAAACTTTTTGAGAGCTATTGATTCACATGCTTTTAAAAGGTAGAGAGACCCTGTGTACCCTTTCCCTAGTTTTCACCAATGGTAACATTTTGCAAAACGATACTATAATATTACAAACAGATACTGACACGATGCAGTTGGGATACAGAACATTTCCATCGTCCCCTTTTATGGCCACACCCACTTCCTCCCACTCCCAGCCCTTCCTCAACCCCCTGACAACCACTAAACTCTTATCCCCCATTTCTGTAATTTTGCTGTCTCCAGAATGTTATCAATGGAATCCTACTGTAGGCTACCTTTTGGGATTGGCTTTTTTTCACTAAAGCCTAGTTCTCCGGAGATTCATCCAGATTGTTGCACGAAGCTGTATTTTGTTCCTTATACGGCTGAGTAGTCTTCCATGGTACAGATATACCACAATTTGTTTAACCATTTATGTGTTGAAGAATGACAGCTGGGTTGTTTCTAGTTTGAGGGATGATGAATAAAACTGCTATAAACATTCATATATACACACTGTGTGAGCATAAATTTTTATTTCTCTGGGGTAAATGCCTAAGAGAGTAATTGCTGGGTCGTATGGTAGTTGCGTGTTTAGTTTAAGAAACTGCCAAGCTGTTTTACAGAGTGGCTGTACCATTTCATATTGCCACAAGCAATGCATGAGTGATCTCCTTTCCCCATGTGTGTGCCAGACTTTGGGGTTCTGGATTTATCCTTTTTTTCTTTCAGGACTAGAAAAATGTAGTGCCTCTTCTCCTAGTTTCTATGGCTTCTAATGAGAAATCTGCTGTGATACACATTTTTAACTCTATAGCTGTCTTTTTTTTTTTTTTTT